TCAAGTGATTCTCCTGCCTCAGGCCTCCGGAGTAGCTGGGATTACGGGTGCCTGCCACCATGCCCGGCTGATTTTTTTGTATTTTTAGTAAAGAAGGGGTTTCACCATGTTGGCCAGGCTGGTCTTGAACTCCTGACCTTATGATCTACCTGCCTCGACCTCCCAAAGTGCTGGAATTACAGGCGTGAGCCACGGCGCCTGGCCTTATTCATATTAATTTTCAAAAAAATGCAAAGCTATGGAGACAAAGGAGATCTCTTGCCTGAGGCCAGGGCTGGGTGTGTGGACTGACTGCAAAGGGACACAGGGGGCGATGGATTTGTTCTAAAATTTCATTGTGGTTATGGCTGCACAACTGTATACATTTACTAAAATTCATCAATTGGGTGAATCTTATGTTATTAAAAGTACATCAGCAAAGTTGTTTAAACAAGGAAGAAGAAGTATGGAACTGGAAGGGCTGTACAAAAGCTGTATCACAATGAGAGGCCCTCATTTGTGCCAACAGAAAGTAGCATGAGATTTCAGAGGATAGAAGTGGCAAGGTCATGGAATACTGAGGAACGATTGAACTTTGTGTTTTTTCCCAGGATGGGCCCTTCCTGAGCTTATGCCTTTCTTTCTAATGCTTCTGTCCTGTTTTCTGTGAAATGGAAGATGTGACTAACCAGGGTTCCAAGATCATTGCTTGAAATCTCAGCATATAGAGTAAGCACTATTCTCAAAAATAAATACCAAATAAATGGTCTTCCTTGTTACCAACCTATTACAAAATGCAAGACCAAACTGTGCCAATCAAACCTATTATCTTACTTCATGATTCCTAAGGCTAAATAATAACTTTTAAATCTATATTGTAATGCCTTCTGGTGATTATGCAGAATTAATATGTTAAAATGGTTTCCTAGTAGTGACAGGAATTGCATGTGTGAATCTTATTAAAGAAACTGTCAAAGAGGACAGAATTCATACTTAGCCAGGTGTACAATGAAGACAGGAGGCCTAATTTAAAAACAATAAAAATCTCATTTCTCCAGCCAAGGCTGACCATCAGACAATCAAACCATGAACAGGAATAAGGAAGGGTGTGTTTATGTATCAAGCAGGGGATCCCCTGGAATAAATACATAATATAAGGCCATAGGAACAGTAGAGGTCTGCTTTTTTAGAGTGGTGCTGACCCTATAACATAGTAGATAACAATAGAGTAAAGCAAGGTAGAACAAAAGAAACATGGTTTTTTTCTTAAGCTCCTGAGTTAAAGGTGCAGCTGCTGAATGCACATACACAGGCTCTTTTGCAAAGGGAGGCTTACAAAAAATTTACATTGGTCCCAAGAGAAGCTCCCTGCCCCATCCCAGTACTCCCTGCCTCTCTTCTTGTGGTGGTCAGCACACTGACAGGCAGAGCTGAGCTAAAGGTTATTTGATGGAAGCAAAGGAACCAGTCATTCATGTCTTGTCTCAATACAACACCTACTTAGTGAGCAAGCTGCGTGTTCTCTGTGCACAAGACCCTGAGATCTGCTTTTTGCCTGGAAGTGGTTTGCTGCTACAGTATATCACACTTTCCGTGTGTGGTTCTATTACAGACAAAGACTTTCCATTGTAACTTGCAATTGAGTCAAAGGTGCAATCTATGACCCAAGGAGAGGATTTTCCCTCCTTATCTGATCTCACTGATCCCTAGGTGATGGGAAGTACGAACTTTCGCCCCGCTAACTAACTCACTACATTGATCAGTCTTGTCACAGAGGAGCAGCCTGAGGAAGATAATGCATCCATCTACTATTCCAGTAGGCGGCGTCCTCGCCTCTCCATCAGCACCATCTTTACATTGGCAGCCAGGGTTGCAGTCTCTCATCCTAATTTACACAGCAAATTAAACAGCTGAAATCCATGTCTTCGGGCATCTAGAGCAATATTACAGTGTCTAGAAGCAACAGATAAAAGGGTTAGCCCTTTCCTTCTGCATAAAACTGTAGTGTAGAGTTCAGCCCTGGTCTTATTTTGTAACTGAATTTAGTCTGAAGGTTGGATTTTGTTCAATGTTAGATATCATGTTGAACTTAATGCTGAATATTTTCAAAACACTAAAAGTACTACAATTTGTCTTTAAGTTGTTTTGTTTGAATTCACACCAATCATTTATTTGAGGGGTAGGGTGTAGTGGCTAGGAGTACCAGAACCAGACTTCCCAGAATTCAAATTCTGCCTCTCTCAAACTAATAATTTTGTGATTCTGGGCAAATTGCTCAATAGATAAGATTTTGCATCTATAAAATGGAGTTGATTATTAAATGAGTTAACATGAAAAAGTACCGAGCACAGAAACTGGTATATAAAACTTAATAGGCCGGGCGCAGAGGCTCATGCCTATAATCCTAGTAGTTTGGTAGGCCGAGGTGGGTGGATCACTTGGGATCAGGAATTTGGGATCAGCCTGGCCAACATGGCAAAACTCCATCTCTACTAAGAATACAAAAATTAGCTGGGGTGTGGTGGCGCACGCCTATAGTCCCAGCTACTTGGGAGGCTGAGGCAGGAGAATCGTGTAAACCCAGGAGGTAGAGGTTGCAGTGAGCCAAGATCGTGCCACTGCACTCCAGCCTGGGTGACAGAGCGAGATTCCATCTCAAAAAAAAAAAAAAAAAAAGAAAAAACCCAAAAACTTTAATAAACGTTAGTTATCACTTGAAGGTATTTAATTTTTTTATATGTGCATTTACGTACTTACAGGATTCAAATTCCACTTTATGATCAACAAGGAAATTGGGACTATGTTATTGACTTCTGACTAATATCCATCTAAAATTCCTTTACCTTTCTACTTAGACTCAGCCCTCGAGTTATGCGGCCCTCATTTCCCACCACAATAAAGATCCACCTCTCTATCCCAGCTTTTATTCCATCATATTTAAGGCTTGGATGTAATTTTTGGAACAGTTGACTGCTTTATTCAGTTGGTGGGGAGAGGAGTAGGAGAGAGAAGCAAATCACAGTCAATGACAGGACTAGCGATTCTGAGCATACCTGCATGTATGCATACTAGACACTGATGTTCCAGCCAGTGAAAGGAGATGTAACTTCTAAAACCATTATCAACTTTATTATGCTTGGAAGTAATGAGAAGAGAGGCAAGAAGCAGGCAATTGTAAGAGAAAGTGGGTGGGACGTAGTGGCTCACACCTTTAATCCCAGTACTTTGGGAGGTCGAGGTGGCAGGATTGCTTAAACCCAGGAGTTTGAGACCAGCCTGGGCAACATAGTAAGTCTCCATCTCTTTAAAAAAAAAAAAAAAAAAAAAAGTAGCTGGGCGAGCTGGGCGTAGTGGTGTGTGCCTGTAGTCCCAGCTACTCTGGAGGCTGAAGCGGCAGAATTACTTGAGCTCAGGAGATCCAGCCTGCAGTGAGCTGTGATCATGCCACTGCACTCAGCCTGGGTGACAGAGTGAGAACCTCTCTCAAAAAATACACACACACACAAAGAGTGGGAAACTATAGTGTATGGCAGAACAGAGAGGAGAACTTGGGTTCACTAAGCACCTACTCTGTGTCAGGTGTACAGGAATGCTGTCTCATTTAATTCTCATGAGAAGATTATGAGACAGATCTAGAGTACCGAAGCAACACCCACCAGTGCATCTCCCCCACGGAGCGGTTAATCTAACTCACCAACCAAAAAAGGTTTGGATCTGGATTTCTGGCTCTTTTGAGAAATAAGAGATCAGGTAACAATAGGCTGGCACTGGGTGGTGGCTGCTCCACTAGATCCTCCACCTGCTGCTGGAGGCACCAGCGCCTCCCTCCTTTCTCCATGACCACCTCTGCCTCCCTCCTGTATGTTTCCTGCCCAGCTCCTGAGCACATCTGAGTTTTTGACTCCCAAGGTGTATATTATTCTCCCCTTTTATTGACAAGTACGGTAACTGAAACTCAGAACAGTCAAGTACTTTTCCCACGGTGGCCTAACTGAAAGTAAAGGATCTAGATAGAATTGGAATTTTGGTTCATTTCATTTATATAGAATGTATTGCCTTTGGAGAGAACATATTGTAAGAAAGAGCTCATATTTAAGAGTGCGCAGGCTGAGCGCGGTGGCTCAGGCCTGTTGGGAGGGCGAGGAGGGTGGATCACAAGGTCAAGAGATGAGACCAGCCTGGCCAACATGGTGAAACCCCGTCTCTACCAAAAATACAAAAATTAGCCGGGCGTGGTGGCGCATGCTTGTAATCCCAGCTACTCGGGAGGCTGAGGCAGGAGAATCGCTTGAACCTGGGAGGCCGAGGTTGCAGTCAGCCGAGATCACGCCACCGCACTCCAGCCTGGCATCACAGCGAGACTCCGTCTCAAAAAATAAAATGAAATAAAAAATAAATAAAATAAATAAAGAGAGAGAGAGACTTGGATTCAAGTTCCAGTTGCAGAGCTTGCTGAGTGTGTCTCACCTTGGGTACGTCACTCCACGTTGCTGCTCTGGCCCTCAGAGAGCTCATCTGTAAAATGGGGATGACCAGGCCTACTTCACCAGCTTGTTTTGAGGACCACAGGAGATGCTTGGGAAGCCAACCCTTGACATAACGGGGAGCTCTACAACTCTCAGAGATTGGTGGTGTTAGGCCAACAGGCCAACAGCAAGAGGAGGGCTGGCAAATTTGTGCTACCCTGAAGGAAAGTCCGGGAAGGACTGATTTGAGCCAGCTCTCAAGGCCTTGAGCAAATAGGTCAACACAGAAAAGGACTGGCTGAGCCTTATCTTGCCTGACGGAAGAGCAAGACGTCCACAATTCGAACGCACGTGAGGGAAATCAGATGACTAGACTTGTAGATACTAACGGTTCTGAAGCGGGTAGGTTAGCTTTCCAACCGCCTGGGTGACGGTCTCAGCCTCCGCCCGACCCCTTCCTGCGCGTCCGCTCTTCCCCTGCGCCTGCCCGCGCCCCTCCGCCCGCGCCCGGGCCCCGCCCCAGGCCTCGCCCCCGCTTCGTCGCCGCCGCCGCCGCCGGGCGCAGCCCCGGAGCAGCTGCGCGCCTGCAGACCGGCCCCGCGGAGGCCGCGCGCCGAGCCCCACGTGAGTCCGGCGGATCGCCGCCCAGGGCACCCTCGCGGCGGAAGGTCCGGGGTGGGGACACCGACGAGGGCTTTTCATCTCGTCCCAGTTACTTTGAAACCGAAAGCGCCTGCTGGCGTCCGGCCGGTCCCCGACCGGCAGGGAGGGCGCGAGGCGGCGGCTGGGCCGAGGGAGGCGGAGGGTCCCGGGCTCGCGGGAGACCGGCGGGGCAGGTGACCGCCGACTGCCCCAGGACAGCGGGTGCGGTGCGGAGCGGGTTTTCTTAGCCGGGGAGAGGTGTGGCGAGGGCGGAGACTGGGGGTCCCGAGCTGGGGAGCTGGTCCAGAGGGCGGCTGTGGACCGGAGGGGCCACGTTCTGTCGGGGTGCGCTGGTGGGGAGGACTTTCAGGCACGTCCCGCACACCCGCACTGCAAACCAGGCCCTGGCCCCCTTCCGAACCCGAAGGCACCCCCTCCACCTTTGCAGGGCTTTCCAATCAAAGCAACTCCAGAATGAAACGTCAGGATTGCCAGGAATGGAAGCCTCCACTAGCTGTTCGTTTACGCGTCTTCCTTTAGAAAGCAGATACCCCCTCCCCCAGAAGGCCAGCTCTAACGAGCCTTGACGCAAACCAAAGTTCCGAGAGGTGGAAGGAGTTGCCCAGAGGCACCCAGAGAACTCGCAGATTCTGAGTTCTCCGTACCAGATTGTCTCCACTTTGTTCCTGTTCTGCAGGGTCTTCGTGGTTCTGAGAATGTTCGGGGCCAAGCTCTTGCCGCGGGTCCCACTGGGCCACTCTGGCTGGCCGACTTTCTCTGCTCATTCTGCCTCCTTCTGCTAAGTTTCCATATTTGGGTATTTCAGATTTACTTTCATGAGAACTCAGTTATCTCGCTGTGGCACCAGGCGAGCGTTGAGGTTGGTGAAACCAGGCGAGGCTCCCTGCCAGGGTTGCCCCTGCAGCCCCTACCCTCCATAGCCCTGGGCTCTGACCCACCTCCTGTGAAGATGGGCATCTGGTAAACAGTTAATTCTGTAAATATTTATTGGGCAGGTGCTGTGTGAGAACTGGGCTGGGGCCAATGGAATATGATTATTTCCTCCAGAGATACTTGCATTTTAAAAGGGCTCTGGAAGACCTGAGATGCAAAGAAATTAGTTGAACCATTTCTGGGAATAGAACAGTTCTGGGTGTGTGCGAGATAATTTTAGGCAGCAAAAGGCTGGGCTAGGACATCACAAATCCCAGCACAGCTGCTCTGCCTTATGTACTCACAAAGCTGAAAACAGGGGTGTTAATGTAATTGGTGGTTTGGGTGGAAACACTTCCATCCCTAACTCTAATTTGAACTAGAAAGACAGAAATTGCTGCAGGAACGATGCACGTAAGATGGAAGTGGAAAACGCCTAGCTTCTGTAAAGGTTTTTGATTTTGTTACAGTTACTGTTTTTGTTGTAACTCTGTGGAATGGATCAACTCTCAGATCCCTGGGTCCTGGACAGAGGCAGGAGAAAGTGTCTGAGCCAGCATCTGGAACAGGGGAAGTGATGGAGAAGGATACTCCTCCCACGGCCTCTGGGCTGAGGCCTGTTGTGATGGGCAGGGTAGGATGGTGGTGTTTCCCTCTGTCAGCAAGCATCACTCGCTGGACTTGGGTAGTAGGGCGATGGAAAGAATGTGAAAAAGAGCTGCCGTCTACTGAATGTCCTAATGATAGGGACTGGGATGTTTCAGAGGGGATGATTTGCACAGTCGGGGAGCTAGATGCCTCAGAGTCACTCTTGTTAGGCTAGCAATGGGAAAGGCACCTCAGTACTTAGACCAACCTTCTGTGATTAGCTCAGCTTTAATGGGGAGCACTTTGAAGGAAAAATAATTATTTGTTTGTAAAGCTCATTCCTTTGCAGAGCATTTTCTCTTTGCCCTTGTCGTTTTGTTCTCATTTTGTCCTCCATGATGCCCTCGTGAGAGCAGGCTTATTCTCTACATCTCTCAGATTGTGAGGGTGAAGCACTGAGGGGGTAAATAGGTCCCTGAGCTCCACTGCTGGACCAGGCCCAGAGCATTGAGGTGTCTGGTTCCCCTGCTCCAGGCCCCTCACCCTGGCTTCTCAGAGAGCCATATCTGCCCACCTCCTCCTCTGTCTGAGGGGTCAGCAAGGGGACCCAGATTCTGATAATGCCTCTGTGGTCTGTCCCCAGCAACATGGAGCAAGTTCTGCTGGAGGCTCTGGCCTAACCACCACAGGAACAGGCACCCACTCTGTTAGCTCTGCCCAGCCAGGCAAACTCGGGGCAAGACGCGTGTCTGTTTTCATGTGTGTCTTGGAACCTGGCATAGAGTAGGCCTAAACAGATGTTTGCTGAATCGAATTGAATTCATTCAGGGTGTGTCTCCCTTGGGGTCTGAGCTTCCAGGGACAAGTGCTGGGTAGGCTTGGGAGAGAGAGGTTGAGCTCGCTGCAGGACTTGCTTAAATCCAGAAATTAGAATAACACTGTACAGCTTACAAGAAGCCCATCTCATCTGATTAATTTCTCACTACCTCCTCAAGAGAAGGGAGAGGCAGATGCTATTCCTTCCACTTTACCTGGTTGCAAGCTGAGGCTCAGAAGTGATTTAAAAGACCTCACAGCATATAGGGTTGGGGCAGGACCCAACTCCAAGTCTTCTTTCTCCAATTCCTGTGCTTTTCCCATAGTTTCTTAACTAAAGGAAGCCAGAATTCTGGGCAGGAGGAGGACGAGAGAACCAGCGCGACAGTCATCAAAAGCTGCCTGACCTTGTCACTGATCGGGGTTAGTGTCTGACTCAGTCTCTGAAGAGCTTTTATCTGCCCAGGTTGTGGCTTTTTCTGGGGTTCTGGATAGGAGTTCTAGCTCCAGTAGAGGTGTACCAGGTGAGTGTCTGTGTGTGTTGGGGCAGAGGTGAACATGCTGCAGGAGAGAGGCAGTCCTCAGAGCTGGCAGGCACCTGCTGCTGCCGCTGCTGCCACCACCACCCAGGAGTGGGCCAGCATGAATTTGTTGCCTTGCCCAGATGAAAGCTTTATTTGAAGGATCACACAGCAGCCTTGACCCACATGGCCTCCAGCAAGTCCTATCTTGTGAGAAAGTGGCATGGAGGACCAGGCAGGAGATAAAAGTGAAAGTACTCATTAGTCCTGACAGAGGAACTCAGTCTGTTTCCAGTGAGAGTGGTGAGCACATTTTGCATATTTGTACCTGGAGGCAGGTAGTGATGCATGCTTGGATTGTGCTGTAGCAAAAGCAGTATATATGCAAATGGTCTGTACACTGTGCAGTATCCATGTGACATGCAGGTCTTAGAGACCCAGTATTAAGTGACAAAGCCCAGTGAGTGCCCTCCCAGGATATCTGTGTGGAGCGAGGGCTGCCATCTCACTTTCAGCAGAGCCCCATGTCTGATTTCTTGACACCACAGGCTCCATCAGCTTCCCTCCTTAGCAATTCAGAACATTCCTGAATTTTTTCCCATGGCGGTTTTTTTTTTTTTTTTTTTTTTCCCTCTTAAGGAGAAAGTGCTCTCCTCCAGATCAAGGCGAAAGCACGTTCTCCATCTACACTCCCAAGTCAGCTCTCTCCTCCTCCCTCTGAGGTGGGTTCCCTCCCTCCCTCCCACAGACTTCTTCCCTCCCCTACAAGCTGAGTTTTCTGTTAATAAGAAGACTCCATGTTTCCCAGTCCCTCTTCTCTTTCTTTCACTGACAAGCTTCTGGAAAGAGTGGCCAGCTCTTGCACTCGCTCCTCACTTGGCACCGTGCACCTGCTGTGCTGCTCTGATTGCTCTGTGTAGGTTTCCAGGACCTGGTACTCCTCAGTCGCCAGCCCATACCAGCCCACGCTGCAGCTATTACTTACCTCCTTGGAGGTTGCTACACCGCCCCCACCAGCATTCCCTTCCTTGACGTCCAGCTTCTCATCCTCCTCTGTCCTGCAAATGCAGGTATGGAACCAAGCCTGGGTCCTCAGGCTGGATTTCAATTCTCTGTGCTTCTTTCCTTGAGCCCTTGGCCATTCCCAAGACTTAAAGCAACACTCTTAGGGAAAGGCTGATCAAATTTCCATCCCTCACCCAGTTCTCTTCTTCACCATTATGATTTGCAATATTCAGAATCTTCCCCATGCTGTTTCAGGAGCACCTTAGACATTCGTCCCAGGCCGCCTCTTTCTCTGTGTTCTCTCTAACTGTTGCAGAAATTGCTGCTGTTCCTCAGTCACCTTTATCCTGTCCCCCTCAGCCAGTCCTGATCTATCTATTCCCAGTTCAGGGCCACAGGGACTCTTTCCTGGGCAACCTTAATTAAGAATTGACTCGTTTTCCTGCCCCAGGTCCATCTGTATTCAATTTTCCTTTTCACACTACTGCAGAGGGGCCTCCCTAATACATAGCCTGGTCAAGACCTGCTACTTTCAATGATGGTGTAGTAGAAACAGTGTGGACTTCAGAATCTGGTAGGCCTGGGTTCAAATCTGGGTTTATGATTTGCTGGTTGTAGTTATATAATCTGAGCAAGTTGCCCAACTTCTATAGTGTCTGTATTCCCACTGGTAAATAGAAATAGTAATGTGTGCCACTTGGGGTTGCTGGAAAGATTAAATGAGTCAATATATACACAGAACGTGGAGTCTGGCAGATATTCAGTAAAACTACTTTTCTCCTTCCATGTGGTTAATAGCTGTACAGCATTGTGGGGTTTCTGGGGAGCTGGAAAATGCATGCCTAGCCTAAAGGCATCAAATTTAAATTAAAAACCAACAGAAGAATTGCTGTGTGTCAGAGTAGACCATCTTTTTTTTTTTTTTTTTTTTTTTTTGAGATGGAGTTTCACTCTTGTCACCCAGACTGCAGTGCAGTGGCACAATCTCAGTTCACTGCAACCTCTGCCTCCGGGATTCAAGCGATTCTCCTGCCTCAGCCTCCCAAGTAGCTGGGATTACAGGCGCCCGCCACCGCAGCTGGCTAATTTTTTGCATTTTTAGTAGAGATGGGGTTTCGCCATGTTGGGCAGGCTGGTCTCAAACTCCTGACCTCAGGTGATCCGCCTGCCTTGGCCTCCCAAAGTGCTGGGATTACAGGTGTGAGCCACTGTGCCGGGGCGAGTAGACCATCATTTAAACTAGCCTATTGCTGCCACTTTGCCATCTCTAAACCAGGTAGACCTCAGGGGCCAGGGTAGGGAAGCTGGGATGGGACAGGGATGGGGATAAGCTGGGATGAGTCTTTGGCAGGCAGAGGGGGCAGGCAGCCTCAGAGGCTGGGGCCCTATGGTCCAGGTTTCAAGGGCAGGAGTCCAGTTTTCAGTACTTGTGGGCAGAGCAGGCGGCAGCTTTGCAGGAAGAATAGTGCTTGGCAGAGAGCCAACACAGGAAAAAAATACAACAGATTTGGAAAACAAAAATACAAGCTCTGACTTGATCGCCAGGAGCAGACCAGTTACTTTAGCAGGATCCGATGTGAAGGCACAGCAGGATGAGGTTGACTTGATGCAAAGCCACCACCCAGAGCCCTTTCTGTTCTCCTGTACTAAGGCGGATGGCTTAGAACAGCCAGGCTGTGTTCTAATGCTTCTGTTAGGGAGACCCTTGACCCTGGAGGATGGAGGGAGGTGGATGGGTTTAAGATAAGCAGCAGCCATGAAGGTCGCTCTTCTGTCTTCATGATTTTAGGATTTCTGAGGTAGAGGCTGGGTTGATATCTATGATGCAACCTAGGAAAACTTACCATGCCTCCCTGGGTTAAAGGCAGAATAATTTAATATAAAGCAAAGGCTTATATGCTAAGCAGATGCAGAATGAAAGAAGTGATTAAAACATTGGGTGGAGTTATTCTAGGAATAACTCACTAGGGAGTGAGAGGGGTAGATAGGAGAAATGGGGGGGGAGGGGAATATTGGA